AAAAAAAAAAAAAAAAAAATCGTCTCGTTAAGCATATTAGGCCAGTATAATAATACATGTTGGAATTTTGATTACGTTCGAAAGTCGTCTTTTTTTTTTCACAAGGCACATATCGCGCAGGAATTCGGAATTCGTTCGCTCTTCGATGGGTCATCAAGATTATTCATTATTAGACAGAGATCAGGACGAAGTTAGCGCCGATCCAGCGCCACTGCTGTCACTAGCTTCGTTTGCCCTGAGATCTCGTAGCATAGAAACGGCTTTGTTGACTTCTTCACTGGCAATGATAGCGAGCTTTGACTTGGTTTCAGAGTCAAGGGCACCAGATGCATCGACCTGGTCATAAAGCAGACGGGATATTCTGCGATTAATATCGGTGTACTCTTCTTTTGAAACTTCCTTCCGACGATAATATGGCTTTAGGGCGGAGCTGACCATCCTTTGGAGGTGTGATTTGGTGGAAAGAGATAAACCACGTGTAGGTGATGATTCATTAGATCGCAAAGGATGAGATGAGGAAGATAGGTCATGGCAAGGTTGAAGACCAACGGGTATACGCCTTCGAGAACGCCGTAAACTTTCTTCTGACGATGGATTGCGTGTGGGAGCAGGAGAGCGGGAAGGGGAAAATTCTGGAGAGGAAAAGTTGAAGTCGCTTGGTGCGGAGTCAACAGACCGCGGTGGTGGAGTGGTAGATGATGGACGAGAAGAGGAACGGCTAGAGGAGAGAGGGGAGAGAGCGGGCGATGAGGGGCCGGAAGAGCTCATTTCTGTGGGGTTATAGGGAGATGAGGCTAGTCGAAGCGGGACAGTATGCATGTTGGGTGTTGATGACTCTTCCACTTCCTTAAGCAAGGACTGAAGGAAGCTTGGTCCTGAAGGGGGAGAGTGACTATTGAGTGGCTGATCATCGCCATTGGGTAATCTGCCACTGCCTCGGCTCGATGATTCTCCTCCATGATCAAGGATATCTGCTAGAGCCTCTGGACGTTTGGTTCGTGGTCGTTTGAGCTTTCTTTCTGGCTGGGCGGGCTCGGGCTCCACCGGAGAGGCAGTAGGAGATTTTCGTTTCCTTTTATTGCATGATGTCCCTTCCTGGACAGCGTTTGCTCGCTCAAAGGCATTCCAAGCTCTAATTTCATCTATAGATTCTGGTTCTGGAGTTTGAATCCTAGGCCGTGGTCGCGATGGCCAGCCTCTGCGCATTTCGAGGAGAGCGGGGACGGCTTCCCGTAACCTGCTCGATCCGCCTTGACGTTCAGCAACACGAATTCGTCGTTGCCAGGCTCGAAACTCTCTAAGATTCGTCTCCTCTTGCCTTCGTTGGAGTAGAGTGCGGCTAACTCCATTTTCTTCTTCATCATCAAACGGAAAGTCAAGATCAAGATGAAGCTGGTCCCAGACGGACTGCCACACTCGAGCCCAGTGAAGAGCATTTACTTGAGTATTGGCGATATGCCTCAGTTGATCTGCCCTGGTGCGTCGACGGGAGACACGAAGAGAAGGGGCAGGGGCAGGAGTTGAAAGGGCACGTTGAGAATTGCATTGCATGCAAAACCATGGTCCAGACGGGACAGAATCTAAGCCCAGACAGTATGTATGACATGCAATATCACACCCATCACATAGCAGAAGTACAGCTTCGTTGTCGTCGTCACCGCATATTGAACAGGGCTGAAACTCGTCAGTGTATTCAAGCAAGTCATCCCCAAGCATAGACGGGTCAATATCAGCGACCTGAATTCGGTCTTCCACGACATATGAAGATATGGCAGGCCCTGCAAACGAAACTACGGTCAGTATTGTTCTATCAAAAAATGTTGCTATGGAATAGGATCAAGTGGGCGTACCTCCAACTTTGGTTACCAGCTCGACAACATTGAAGTTCTGTCTGCAAATCGGACAGCTGTTTGCTCGTTCAACCCAGGGCTTTAGACATTCATTATGTAGGTTATGGCCACAGGGAAGCAGATGGGCGATCTCAACAGCCTCAATGGCAGTGTTCTCCTTGGGCGGCTGGCTTGTTGCAGTGAGTAGGCTTGGCACGACGTCAGCGGCATCGCCTTCGCCAAGGTCGCCTAAGCACACAATACATGTATCTGACATTGCTGGAGCAGCGGTAGGGGGCGGGAGTACAGCTTGCGGGTGTGAAGCACGGCATGAAGAGCAGCTGGCGAGGGAGGGCAGCTTTTCCTCGACGCAGCACGGCGGCAAGCAAGGCGAGAAGTGAAGTTGTGATGTTAGGAGGAAAGAAAGTTGTGGGGGGCGAACCAGCCGGCCGTTCTTTTTGAAGCATGGGCAGACGGCGAGCTAGGCCGTGTTGGGCATAGCGCCGGCAACGTGACTTGGGCTCATGACAACGTTAGGTAAGCATCGCCTGACTGGGATTGGCTTAATAAGCCGCTGGAGGGATGGAGAGCGCAGGTGAGGCCGGCAGCTAGGACGGCTGGAGGGAGACAGCGAGAGGAGTGTGAGACAGTCAGGATAGTCAGCAAGCAGGTGAAGGAGGCTGGGCGAAGACAGCGACTGACCTGGCCACTGCGGGACTACAGGATACTACTCCCGGGACTGAGAGCAGCAGAAACGTGTCAGCGCCAAATGGACACAACGACACAGGAAAGATAGAGCTGGAGAAGTCAGGAGCGTGGTGGTGGCGCAAACCATTGAGAATCAATAGGATTTTTATTTGTCTTTTTATTGCGTTAACATCTATCGGTAATAGTCGATATTCGCCGGACCTCGTTTTGTGAGCTCGAGCCTGGGCATTTGTGCGTGCTATCGACAGAGACATAGAAAGCAGTCGACCCTTTCATTTGATCCTATTGGTTTCGTTCATTTATTTTTTTTTTTGTTTGTACTTTTCCCTCACTCGCTCGGAAAGTGTGCGGGAGGGGGACCGTTTGAGGGCGTCATCATCACATGGTTTTTGATTTGGAAGTGCAAGAGAAAAAAAATCCCCATGTATTAAAACTAAAGAAATAGCAACTCCATTGTACCAGCCCAAATTTATACCTCAGCGATTTCTCGTAGACGTCGGATGGTCGATCTGGTGGTGGCAGCTGCAGCGGTGCTACATATCGTGCAAAAATCTCCATGTCAGCAGTCTGCCCCCTCTCCTCCATTGCCCTAGTATCAAGAGATTTGCGGCAGTTTTCAAGCCTGGAGGACCATGATTGAAAAAAACTGCCGGGAAATCAACTTACGAGACAGTCCAAGCACCTCCGGCAACGGTCTTGCGGCAGGAACGGCACTCCCAGATACCAACAGCAGTGCGCTTTACGGTGTTCTTGCCGCAGAATGTGCAGATGTAACGGGCGTGCTGGGTGACTTCCATCTTCTTCACCTGCTTTCGGAGCGAGGCACCGTATCTGTCATTTCCCCCAGGTTAACATTCAATTTCCTTCCATCTACTTCGTCCGAGCAGTAGCTTCGTTTCCGCGTTGCCTGCTTCGACTATCGGGGAGAGGACTGCAAAATCGTACCTTACACCATATTTACCGGTAACGCCGACCTCTGTCGGAATTAGTTAGCAATCACACAGTCTGGGAAATATTTTTATGGGCTTCAAACGTACTCTTAGTGCGCTTCGTCATCTTGTCGCGCTTGTTATGTGATGCAACGGCAACGAAAGTCGAAAGGTGATGATTGAGAAGTTGAAGTTGCAATTCTTTTTTTTACTCCCTCACTTCCTTTGGCGTTTGTGTGTGTTCGCTTACCTGATCGCGAGGCCCGGCTTGGCGAGATCCCGTGACAAGATTGTCACGTGACTATATACCTCGGCTTAGCTGATATAAAGCTTGGCGACTTTGTATGTTTTGAAAGGCCCAAGTTTCCAGGGGGCGACAAGCAAGGATGTAGACGAGACACGCGGGAGAGCAGCAGGCCAGAAGATAAAAACTGCTGCTCAAGGGCATGGAAGGATAGCGTCCAGCACTTTAAACTTGTTTGTTGTCTTTTTTGTCGCTCTGCCTTACCCACAGCTACTTCAAATCACGATGGCATCGCCCCGCAGTCTTGAGATCGTGCTCCTGGGAGCCACCGGATACACGGGGAAGCTATGTGCCGAACATATTGTCAAGAATCTTCCTACCAACCTCGCATGGGGAATTGCTGGCCGCTCTACGAAGAAGCTGGAGGACCTGTCTGCCAAGCTACTTACATTAAACGCTGACCGCAAGGCTCCAGGTACGCGCCTACCTCCGTCTAACCTATAGATTGAGCTATTTGCCATAGCTTTGATGCTAACCTGGCGTAGAAATCCTCTCGGTTCAATTCAGTGACGCTGAATTGAAGGACCTGGCTTGCAAAACGAAGGTTATCATCAACTGCGTCGGCCCATATCGCAAGCACTCTACCCCTGTGGTTAAGGCCTGTGCTGAAAACGGTACCCACTATGTTGATGTGTACGGCTCTTATGCCCCTTATTTCTTCCATTTTTACTTCTTTGGATGTTAATCTCCATATAGGACAGGAGAGGCGCCTTGGGTTTGCGATATGGTCAAGAAATTTCACGAAACCGCCAAGTCTACAGGCGCCATTGTATGAGCCTTCTCTGCATTATTGCTCTGTTTCAATGGGGTTCATTTTAACTAACTAAATTCTAGTTGATATCTGCGAATGGTATAGAAAGTGCACCGGCTGACTTGCTAACCTACTTCATGGCAAAATCCATCAAGGATCAATTTGGTGTTGTCACGGATGAGATAGACATGTCCCTCTACTACATAAAGTACGTTTAGCTGGTGATAACTCTAGGCGATATCGCTGCTAACTCTGACCTATAGGGGAAAGTTCAGTGGTGGCACCCTTAGAACTATTATCGATTTCTTTGACAACCTTGATTCCAGCAGTGGCGACCCGTACAAAATCTCAGTCTCGAAGCCGGCTCAGCCAAAATCAGTCCCCATCCTTCGCCGCATCTTTGGTGTGCATTACGTTCCAGACATTGGAGTTGGTACCACCTGTGTCTGTGAGGCATGCGATACTGCAATTGTCCACCGTACCAGTTCCTTAATGCCTCAACTATTCAACCCAAATTTTAGGTTCTGGGAGAGTATGAAAACCCGCAATACCCTTACTGGCGTTGCATTTCACTTTGCTCTCATTGCTACAGCATTTGTCCTGTTACTGTCGCCAGTCAGGTGGGTGCTATCACGTTATTTCTATCCTCCTGGAGAAGGCCTACAAGAGGATGCCAAATCGGGTTTCTCAGTCGAATACAGGGGGATTGCTACGGCTAAGCAGGATCAGTCCGGAAAGAAAAATATCAGAATGCTGGGTTCGTTCCGTTACGATGGATGCCCGTATAAGCTTACGGGAATTTTCCTCGCGGAGGCTGCCCGGATTCTAGCTAGAAGCGAGAAGGTTGGGCAAACTATTAAGGGGGGCTACCTTACACCTGCATCCCTGGAGGATGAGTACGTCGAAAACCTTGAGAAGATTGGGGCTCAATTTAAGTATACCCTCCTAGAGCACTAGTAGATAGAGGGGGCCAGCCATTTAACTCATTAGTTGTGTCTTTCATAAGTGTCTATAAATGGACCAAGAGTTGTAATTATCAATCACGCACTAATATGTATGTAACTGTAATAAAATCCTTCTTTTGGGAGAATCAATGCCCACTGTAATGGTAAGCCTTTGCTTAGAGCTTCACTTTCCTCCCAAACACCACTCCTTCAATCCAGCTTTTGATATGCGTATTGCATTCTTCAGGGCTTTCCCAGAGAGCCCAGTGTGAAGCAACAACTTCAGCCCTAGTCAAATGTTTGATATTCCGCTCCATATTACGCGAAAGCTCTGGCCGAAGTGCAGTATCATTCGTTGCTAAGATATACAGGACTGGTATATCCAAAGACCTGTTCAAGAACTCTAGCTCGTCCTTCCAGTTTTGCTCTCGGGTTCTATACCAGCTCACTACTCATTAAAAATCAGCTTAGAGTACTACTTATCTTCAAAAGAAGGGGGTCATAGTTTACCTGGCCCATGTAAGCCGGTCCTTGAAAACTCATTCACATAGTAATCCATTTCCTGTGTTAAGCTGAATTAGATCTTGAAAATACCTTCTGAGGAGGATGGAGCGGGATGCTTACTTCATCACTGAGTAGAGGGGTTTGCTGAACGCCGGGAAGTTTCTCAAGCAGTACTCCTTTTTCCATGCTTATTGCTGGTTTGCCGTCTGCTGTCCTTCCGCCATACATAGCGTTTAAAAATTGACGAATTTCCTCCTTTGACTGGATTATGTCTTCTAATCCGCCATTGGCAAGTTGGGCCTGATAGCCAAAGAAGGGTATTTTTGCAATGATCTGTTCAAGTGATAGATATTGCTTCGAGGGTGGCCAGTAAGGGGTACAGACTGAAAATACATGGGTAACGAAGTCTGGCTCATAGAGCGCAATGCGATAGACAATAGCACCACCCCTGGTACGGATTAGTTGATGCCATACTTGATGATTGC